CCCCCCCCCCCCCAGCCGGCGCGTTAGAAGAGAGGGGATTGTCCTCTGCTCTTACGACCTGGTGTTGTTGGCTGGGGGCGGGTGGGTGTTCATTTGGGGTGGGGGGGTGTAGCACAGCTGTGAATAAACAGACTCGGACAGCAGAGTCCCCCCCTTCCTGGGGGCCGCCCTTCACGGCTTGTTTGTTTGGACTGGGCTGGATTGGACTAGGATCTTGTTTACCCCAGCACAGGGCAGGATGGGGGCTGGGGGGTTAGGGAGCCGGGGATGGTTTTTTTTGCACACTGCAATGTTGTGTCAGTTTCAGACATTTGTTTTTTTGTGTTTTGTTCTCGAAATCTGCATGTAGCATCTTCCTCAATTTAAGTCCCGTTACTCGTTTAAAACCCACGCAGGCAAAGAGGAACAGACTGTTCCAGGGGGAGGGGGCTATGGGCCTTTTTGGGCGCACCTACCGGCTTCCGCAACAGACATCATCGTGACTGTCCAATCAGAATCCACGGTTTCAACAGTTTGGAAAAAACTGCAAACAAATCTGCCTAATGTTTAAAAGGCGTGCATGTGTACGGCAACCCGCCCTGTCAGCTGGCTGGCTGGGCCCTTCTGCCTATCTGGAGATGGATGGTGATGTCATCAATTTCGTGAGCCAGGTAACACAGGGTCACCCATCCCCGTTGGCAGAGGCGCCCGAGGAGCGACCAGCAGGACTCACCCAGTTTGAGGAGCCAGCCCTCGCGGTCCGGGTTGAAGAAGGTGTGCGTGAGGTCATTGCCGTCGTCCTCCGGGATCTTGAAGGGCTCATTCCTGATGCTGTCATAGAGGTTCTGTAGATGGTGTGGGGGAAGATGAGGAAGGTGAGGTAGCCAAAGCGAGGTGTGCGGTGGTTACACCCCACACACACCACACCGCCCCCTCACCCTCAGCAGGTCCTCGGGCAGATCGCCCCCCGCATTGATGCCCCGGTTCATGGCGACGAATCTCTCCACCGAGGGCTTGTCCTTGACGTTGGGATTGTGTAAGCTGGTGTTGAGCATGATGATGGCGAAGGACAAAACGTAGCAGGTGTCTGGGGGACACAGGGACAGGGAGTCAAAGCTCATGTATGGACAGACGAGTCAAAGCCCACAAACAGGCAGGAGAGTCAAAGCCCATGTACGGACAGGAGCAGTGTGAGGCGGGCGTGTGCTGATGCAGTCTCTCTGAGCCTCTAACGGCAGAGTCAGCAGGAAGTGTCTCAATGACTGAGGCTGACGTGGCTTTGACACCACAGCTGTCAGGTCCAAACGGGCCCTTCTGAAAGCTGGCCCGTGTTTGACCCCGAGGGAAGACGCACACACACCTGTAGACTGAAAGACGCCAGGGTTGCACTGGCAGTACCGCTGAGCAAAGGCCTCCATCATGCGGTCAATCTTCTGAGCCTCTCCCGGCAACCGGAAACTCCACAGGAACTGCCTGCAAGGACACCGTCGGCCAATCAGCTGCAGGCATTCCCATCACCCACTGTGGTACCGAGAGCATTGCCATTACTTTGCCCATAGGGGGCGGAACACTTCGCCGTTTCAGCTCCTACCTTAGGGCCTGTACCAGGTTCAGGTCTGTGAATTCGTGCAGCTCCACAAAGGCGTGCAGAACTTGAATGTTGAACTCGTCCCTGTAATGCAAGCGAACGGCATTAGTAATGGGATGCTATTTACACAATGAGGCACGTTCAGCTCCATTTCCCACAATGCCCTCACCGTACACCAGAGTTCCATTTCCCACAATGCCCTCACCGTACACCAGAGTTCCATTTCCCACAATGCCCTCACCGTACACCAGAGTTCCATTTCCCACAATGTCCTCACCGTACACCAGAGTTCCATTTCCCACAATGCCATCACCGTACACCACTTCTTGACATTGGCCCATGGCTTTTATCATGTATCCGCACACGTTTTCCTTTTGTTTGGATACTCTAATGTTATTCGGTCAACATGCAAGACCAGAAAAAACATGGGTGGGCTGCGTCTCTCTGCCCTGTGATGCCTCACCCCTTGGCCATTTATAAGGGCTATAATTTGGGCTCCTCCTATGATTCACCTAAAATGGCATGACTGGTTCTGACCCTCTGGAGTGCAGTAGAGAGAGACTCAGAAAAACAAAATTCCCGGCTCCTGACAAATGGAATTCCCGGTCAGTAGACAGAAATGCTAGGGTAGGCGTGAGGGCAGGAGTGGGCAAACACCCCATGAAGCCCAGTCTTTTCTGGGTCTGTCGCAGCTGCGTTTACGCCCCGCACTGCATTTATCGAGCTTTGAGGGCTGCGAATGTACTAACCTATTTCGGAATGCCGTTATTCCCTCTTAAAAGACACTCCATCGGATTTGTGCCGCTAACATGAGGATCTGTGACTGAGGGCCTGAGAAGAGAAGGTGCTAGAATCCCTTGGAACACCACGTTCATGCACTGCACGTGGGGGGGGAGGTTTAGTCATAAATATTTGACAAATGGGGAACAGCATCCGATCGCTGACCTGCTTTGCAAAATTTAAATCCGGCTAGACGGCACACAGCTGACATCTCTGCAGCTAAGCCAGAGGCAGCAGGAGCGTCCGCGAGGATTAGTGTGCGGTTTCCTGTTGTTGCCATGACAACCTGCAGCACTCGGAACTCCTCTGTGAAGACTGCCATCGTTTGGCAGAGTAACATCTTCACGCGGACTGGGGGAAACGTGGAGCAACACCAAGAAGCCAGGCTAATCGCGAGCACGCCGACACGTGATGGGAGCTCTCGGGTTTCTTGATGCGGGGGTGTCACGGCCTTCACCTCTCGCCCAGGTAGTCGCCGATGGCCGTCTTGTTGAGCCCCTCACCCTTGTAGAGGAACTGGGCGATGTCTTCGCAGGTGTTCTTCAGGAGGTCGTTCTCCATCAGGAACTGGATCCCCTGCGGGGGATGGAGCAGACGGAGCGTCATCGACCCCGGCGGGCCATGGCACCAGAACCTACCACCAGGGGGCGCCCATGGGTGAACATGCCTACCTTTTTGGGATCCATGTTGAATTTTTTGCGGCCCACGGCCACCTGTTTGTTCCTCTGCATGCTTTTCCTGAAAAAGCGGCGTCAGCGTGAGACGCATGTGGGACATTTCCAGAAGTTTCAGTGATGAAACCCACAATGTACTATATTGCTACCAATCAAAACATCCCCGTTAGGGGGGTCTGCACCCCCACAAACCCCTGCTCTGTGGCCTGGTATTCTAGAAACAAAACAGACAGGGTCACATGGCAGACTCGTGCCATGACATCACGAGGGTGGGGTTTACTTGCACCACTTCTGTTTTAGTCATCACCATGGTTACGTCACTCCTGGAGAGGAAGAGCAATGACATACAATGCCTTGTGTCTCACCCACACACCCTGAACAACAGCTATTCTGGGTAACTGATCCAGCTCTAGGACAGATTCACAGGCTGATGAGGAAGACGGTTCCGCAATATCCACCAGGGCGCCTTGCACACCCACAACATTTCTACTCTGAAGTCACACAGCGTGACCCACACTCAGCATGGTCTCTGGCCTCAGCAGGTCCCCCCCTCCATGCACCCCCACCCTAATCATGTGACCCGGCTAGACATGTGGAAAAGGAGAATCCAAGAAAAAGAAAATCGACGCAGAATCCGTTGGAAGCCAGCATGTAATACGGGGTGATGTCACATCATGAATCCTTACAAGCTGAATAAAAGGCTTAATATCCGACCCTATGATACGGCTAAGATACCCGCCTGCAGAGCGGGCCGTGGTTAACTCCGGGATGAAGGTCCTACTGGCACTTCGGGTATGGGGTGTCCAGCACTCAATTATTCACCGCCAACCCCGTCTCCGAACGGGACGGTGCCATGAAACATTTACGGCGCCTCCTTAAAGCCAGACCCAGCCCGAAATCCCAAGAAGGGCTGAAGATTAATATTTAACGTGGCTGAGATCCGATGGCCCATTTTAAGTCACCAACTAGCCCCCCACCCCGATAAGGAACCCGGCTGCACCGAGCTTCACCACCCTCTGGGACGTGCACCCCCCTCCCCACACACGCCCCCTTGTGGCAGGTCACCTTTCTTCAGTGGAGCCCAGGTTCTCAATCTCGCTGGTCACCTCTGCTATCTCATCCTTCAGGCGCTGGAACAGGAAAACAAAAGGGAGGGGGAGCAGGGTGAAGATGGGCCTGGGGAGAACACTGCCAGCGATCACCCCCTCCCCCACCCACCCAATTGCAGCTGCGAGGACCCTGGGTGGGACTGAGAGGGGAGGCCCCTTGTGACACGGGACAGGGGGGTGGCACGGCAGGGTGTGGCCTCCTAGCCGAGGCTCAGAGGCAGCAGCTGGGCTTAGAGCAGCGTGAGGAGCAGAGTGGGGGGGTCACTGGGTAAGTAGGGGATGTATGAGAGGAGATGGAAATGAAAGATTTGAGGAAAAGGGATGACTAGACAGGATTGGGGGAGAGTGTTGACAGAGGGCTTCTCTCCACGGAGCTCTAAAACAGCCCCTCCCTCGCTATCTCGGCAGCCTATGGGGGATGGGGGGGGGCTCATTTCTGTAACCCCACAGGGACAGACGTGCTTTGATCCCGCCGTGAGTGCGACCCTCTGATCGCACCCAGGGCCAGGAAGGGGGGGGGGGGGGATTCGACAGCAACAGGGTCAAAGAGCCAAGGGAACTGGACCTAGTGTCTGTATGTAGCAATTAGCCGAAGCAGACCGGCTTAATCAGCAGCCAAGCAACACATGGCGTTCCTAGGCTCAGCGGCGCTTCATACTCCTCCGCATGCGTACTAGCGGACGTGTCCGCTGAAACGTTTATGACGCGTTTGGCGTCATTGTGCGCCTCCGCGGACGAACGCCGGCTGCACTGCAAATTTTGCACAGCGGCGTATGCGCAGGTCTGGACACACTGTGCACTGCACGTGATCGATTCACTAGTGTCCACTTTAAATACCTACATAGATGCTTTTCACAAGTGTTGGGGCAGTGAATATTAGAATAATAATTTATATCATTATTAATAAAATATAAATACAACACATATTTTTCACTATTATATATATATATATATGACTATTTTCATGCAGGCACACGCAGAGTGGATACGCGAGTGCTGCACTTGTGTGGAGAAGAATGAACCAGCCTTATGACCCCCCTTAACCCCCACCCAGCCCCACCCTTAACCATAAGCAACCAAACAAAATTCAAGACTTTTGGCATTTTTAGTTTTTTGATTGCCTTCACAGATCATTGTGGGGACCTGAATAATGGTCCTCACAACATCAGAATAACATGTTTTTAATGTGTTAATGTGTTTTGTCCCCACAATGTAATAAAAACATAATCCACTCACACACTGACATACACACACTCACTTTGTGAGAATGAGCACTAACAGCCCCAGAGGTCGCCAGGATCCACGCTGACTGCCCGACCCCCCCGTTCCCTCTGAAACCCAAAGCCCCAGTTACACAAGATGCTCAGAAGAGCGCCCCCTGCCGGCCATCTCACTGGCCCCGCCCCAACCCCCACCTCTCACCCTGCTGGTGGTGTCTCAGGCCCCCATGTTTAATCTTCGGGCCTTTGTTGTGAGCCGGATACCTGACCTGCCTAATGATGGAGTGTGTGCCCCCCCCCTCCGATCCTGAGAATCTATGGGCATCCCTGGGGGTGGGGTTAAGTGGCAACAGGAGAAGGGTGACATCGCAGCACAGACGCCAGATGGTCTTTAATCCGGCACCCCCCCCCCCCTCCGGCTCTAGCAAGTAGCACCACTGTAAGCCACAGTGAGTGAAAGTGAGATAGGAGCGAGAAGAGGGGGATTGGGAGGGCGATGCGGGGGTGGGGGTGAGGCAGATGTCACCGGACGCGTTGGCACTGTGTGTTTGTCAGCGGGGGGGG